TAAGCTGCATAGTAGCTTTTCGTATGTTCAGCAGCAGACCAACTTTTATTTCAGTACATTTGAACCGTGAAGCTTGGAGATAGGCTCGTGCGTTGTTATTGCCTCTAAACCAGCACCAAAGCTCTAGGTTGCTCTTACGGATCTACAGTATCCAGTACTTAACCTTTTTTGTGGTCTTTCACAAAGGCCGAGAGACCACTTGCCTGGATCACTGAAAGTAGTTGAGTGATACGTAAAGTATACTGCGAAGTGTTCTTAATTAACTTCTCTAAAAACTAGGTATTTGCTACCAAGTTACGGAATCAAGTTGTATCCTTGTTTGCCACCACGGGCACGTTGGGCTTAACCAGAGCGGGTCTTCGTGGCTTTGGCGTCATGTAGTTCGGGCCATATGCCTCCGCCAAGAAGAACTTTGGGTCGTGTACCGTGTCGAACGGCATCCCGTTGATCGTCACTTGTGATAATGGTTCCACTTTGTCTCCAGGAAGAAACCGTCCGTTACTGCCTACTAATTCCTGAATATCCCAAAGACTATCGTTCACTTTCTTCATCCTGTACAGATCCACGTATGGCACGGCAAAGTTCCTTGTAAGAGGTTTGTTTGGATCATAGAGACGAGCTGCCAGCGGGTGAGTCGGTGCCACACAGACGCGCCAAATCTTCATGAAGAACATGTGATAACCTTTCTGTCGTAGTGCTTCCACGACCTCATCTTTGAACTTGAGTCTCCCCACGAACCCGATGTCTGCGTCTTCCGTGAATGGGATCATGGATCCATTTCTTACAGCTCCTAGCAATGACCCAAACGTGATCAAAGGAGTGTTCCCCGTGGCCTTGAGCTCCTCGTATACATCCACCATCAACATGTGAAGTACACTTGCATAGCAAATCGACTTTGGTGATCGGACGTTGAGTAGATCAGTTCGGTCTCCAGCGATACAAAACGGAGTATCCTTCCGTCCTGATATGGGCAAACAGTAGCTGTATTTCATACTATATCGCAGTTTATCTTGACAAAGCTTCGTATGCTCCCCATGGAAAGTTGGTACTGCAGGAGGGTCCATCTCTCTCAATATCGAGTAAAATCGGTGACCCGAATGGTACTCGATAGAGCCGGCTCTCACAACTCTCGGTAAGCAGACGATATCTTCGCTAAGAATATATCTTTCTGGCATACACGCGATAATATGCGCCTCCATGACGAGACCAAAAACCACCAACCCAATAGGCACCAAAACAATGATTGGGATCTCCTTGAAGCCGTGCAGAATTCTGAAAAGTAAACCAGAACGACGAAGCGGAGTTTGCTTCAAAACTTGCTCGACGTCCCCGCATTTCGTCTCCATCTTCTAGGCCGAGCTTCCACTGCGAAGGGAGGGAACGCAAATGAGAGCGGTCAGGAGATTGGACGCGTGAATCGCGCGTTGTATCTTCGCAACGTGCTGTTTTCATTGCGTGGGTAAACTATGTGACACACAGCCCATGTTTGCTGTTCGTTTGCAGTATACAGGGATAGTGACTGCAAGATGTACGTGGTTTCGACCAGTTCAATTTACGTTGATACAATAATTGCAAAAGACTATTTGGTTTATCATGATCCTTTTGTCATCTTCTCCAGTGTCGACTTCAACTTATCTTTATCCACATGCTTCAGCATTGCTTTTGTTGCTGGGGATACATTTTTCATCGAGACAGATCTTCGCTGCCTTGGGGTCATGTACCTCGGGCCGTACGCCCGTGTTAAGAAGAACTTTGGGTCATTGACTGTGTCGAACGGCATCCCGTTGATCGTCACCTGTGAAAACGGTTCTACCTTGTCTTGCGGTAAGAGTTGGCCATTGACACTTTTGAGCTCCTCGACGTCCCAATTGCCATTATGAAGGTTCTGCATCCGATACAAATCCACGTATGGCACTCCCATATACCTGGTAAGCGGCAAATCGGGGTTGTATAACTGGCTTGCTAGAGGGTGCGTTGGCGCCACGCACACGCGCCAAACCCCCTTAAAGAACATGTGATAGCCCTTACGCCGGAGCTCTTCTTTCACCGCTTCTTGAGCGTTAAGCTGCCCCACAAACCCGATATCAGTGTCTTCCGTGAACGGGATCATCGAGCCATTGCGTACCGCCCCTAATAAGGAGCCGAAGACGATCAGAGGGGTGTTTCCCGTCGCTAGCAGTTCTTCATACACCTCGACCAGCAACAAGTGCAACACACTAGCGTAACAGATTGACTTGGGCGAACGAACATGCAGCAAGTCGCTACGGTCCGCAGCGACGCAAAACGGTGTGTCTTTCCGTCCAGAGATTGGTAAGCAGTAGTTAAATCCCGCTTGGAATCGGGCGTCCTCGTTGCACAACGCTGTGTGGGTCTTGCGGAATGTTGGCGGTGAGGGAGTCATGTCTTTCAGTGTAGCATAGTACCGATGTCCGGAGTGATACTCGATGTCGCTTGCGTTGTAAATTCTCGGAGAGCAAACTTCTTCCTCGACAATATGGATAGTAACTTTGGGTGTGGAAGGCAACAGTTGAGTATCCACCGCGAGCCCGAAAACCAATAACCCGATCAGTACCAGAGCGAAGCTCAAAGTCACGGTCATTCCCGTCCAGAAGGGTTTGCATCCCAACAACACCCGAAGGACGCCGACGCGATGAGTTGCTCCCACCTTGGCTGCAGCGACGTTGATGTCGAGTCTCCTGGCCATAACGAAGTGGTTTAATCAGAGGGCACTCGTGATGCGAACAGCAAAAAGGAGAGTGAGAACGAACAGACAAAACGTGGATGATGAGTTGATGGGACTCACTCCAACTTGGACTTGTAGACCGTGATCGTGCCGATAGGAATGAGCAGGGTCAGATCTCAAGATTATTGATGATGGGAACCATGCAAGTCATACCCACTATGGTACTACAGTACAGTACTTCATCCCGTTTTCGCGCCCTCGGATATTAAATAAACTTCCGGATATAGTACTACTTTTCGTAAATATACTAAGTGTTTTCAGCTGAAACCTGATGTGTTTGCAAATCCTATATAGTACACCCCGTGAAAACGGGGTGCACCACTGTAGTACATTGTGACAAATGCATACCCGTAGTAATTCAACAGGTTGTTGTTACCAACAGGTAAACTAAGTGAGCCGGACTGCTGTTCTTTGCTTCAAGTGATGGGATAGCACGCTGTAAGAATATCCTGGCAATAATCAACTTGACATATTACGTCGTGGTGCAACTGCACTACAGGCTTTGATACGTAGGTACACCCACGGCATGCATGATCGCCGTTTCCTCTATTTATTCAAACTAGTTATTTCTTTTCTTCTACTGTGCTACTTGTGCTATTGCTTGTACTATTACTTGCCTCTATCGCTGGAGCCTCAGTTCGCTGCTGTGGCGTCATGTAATCCGGTCCGTAAGCTTCGGTTAAGAAGAAATGGGGATCATGCACGGTGTCAAACGGCATTCCATTGATCGTCACCTGTGAAAAAGGCTCCACCATGTGACCAGGAAGGAAGCGTCCGTTGCTGCCGTCCATTTCCTGAATATCCCAATTGCCATTCTTGACTTTCTTCATCCTGTACAAGTCGACGTACGGCACAGCGTAGCTCTGAGTGAGCGGCAAGCTTGCGTCATACAATTTCGCTGCAAGTGGATGCGTGGGCGCCACACAAACGCGCCAGATCCTCAAGAAGAACATGTGATAGCCTTTGTTCCACAGCGCTTTACGGAGCGGCTGAATGTCGTGAAGTCTCCCCACATAGCCAATGTCCGTGTCCTCAGTGAACGGGATCATTGAGCCATTTCGCACAGCCCCAAGCAGCGATCCAAACGTGATCAGTGGAGTGTTTCCCGTAGCCTTCAACTCCTCGTACACATCCACCAGTAGCATGTGTAGTACACTCGCGTAACAAACAGACTTGGGCGAAGTAGTCAACAGGTCAGTTCGGTCTCCTGCGAGACAGAAGGGAGTATCCTTCCTTCCCGATATGGGTAAACAGTAGCCATATTTCATCTTAGTGCGTAGACTCTCCTCACAAAGTTTGGTATGAGCTCCTCGAAACTTTAGCGCCTTCGGTTGACCCATATCTTTAAGTACAGAGTAAAATCGATGACCCGAGTGGTACTCGATCCCACTGACGTTCAAGACGCGCGGGGTGCAGACTCCATTTCCGGTAAAGACTGAGAATTCCGGCATACACGCGAGAATATGCGCCTCCATGGCAAACCCAAAGAACACCAAACCGATCAACACTACGACAAACGTCGGGATCACTGTCACGCCCGTCCAGAAGTCCCTGCAGCTCAGAAAAGCTCTTCGAACAACCCCACCGCGACGGGGAGGGATACGCTTGCTAACGCCGACTCCTTCCTCCATCTTCTTGTCCATTGTGGCGCGACTTGCGTTGCGAGGAGTAAATGAGAAAATGAGACGATGGGACGAATGGATGCGGGGCGACACCAGCCGTCGTGTACACGTGTGTGTCAGAGACGTCTCCATCTGGTCATGGCTGAATTCTCGTCCCAGAATTCTGCTCGAACCACGCCTACCATGACTGTAATACATACCACCGGTAGACAAAAGCTATGTAGAGTACGGTGCTTATCATTCCTTGCTGGCTAGGGCATTCTGTCGGGCAAGGTATAATAGCAATACGTCAACGTGAAAGATTCCAAGTTGAAAATACAAATGAATTCGTGTACTATTGATGTGGTACCTATTCAAATATTTGGTTTATGGTG